CGTTGGCACAACACAGCAACTATACTTTATTATATTTATTTGAAGAATTTAACTGGTAGAATTATAATCAAAAGAAAATTTTACTGGAAAAAATTCCACGCAATCCAGGCAGCGGAGTTCGTTCATTTCGTTCCAGTCGCGTCTGTGGCCTGGACCGCGTGGAACTTTTTGTAATAAATTTTTCTTAAGGTTAATAATACTATAAAAAAAAAATCTATATTCTTAAAATCATGAATGAATTTTGCTGTTCAAGCATTCAGAAATTGTTGCAGCGTCTAATTTAAGACTAGCATGATCTAAGTTGTTCCTGGTTACAGTATAATTTCGTAAGAATTTAAGCTTAAATTAAGGGCTAGGTAGTAAACAATTAAATTCCACAGGATAACTGTAAAGAGTGTAATTGAATAACTAGGTAGAAGACACACTTTAAACCTAGAATTGTTTAAACTCACTTCAGAAAGAGCAAAGAAATTTTAAGAGATATCGCCACGGGGCTTAAGTTATTTGCGCCCTAAAGTTAAAAATAGCTGTACCTCAAATTTCTTTAGCCCATTCCTCGCCTTTGTCACTATTTCAAAGCATAATTCAACAACATCCGCGGTTAACCCCAGCTTCTCAATTAAAACATTATCATCGTCATCTATTTATCTAATCTTACCTATCAACAACATAGGCAAGTACTTTTATTAATATTCATTTTCATTGTACTATTATGATCAAGTACAGTATAATAAACTTTTATATGTATTTAATTAACTTTTATTATATGTTACACAGACACAATTTATGATTTTCTAAAAATAATAACGCTATTTAATTTAATCTATTTAACAAAGACTATGAGCAAATATTTGTTACAATAATATTTATTTATAACAAATACCTACAATTAATGTTCTACAATAGAAAACAGTTTAATAGAGTTATGTTATTTATGTATGGCTAAACGGGACATACTTTTCGGCAATTTGTGGCTGAAACACAATGGCCAGAAACATTTGAAGCCTGCAATTATAGTCACATATTTTTAGTATAACTACACATTTTCGTGTTTAGCCGGCGTGTTGCCGAACAATCGCTACACAATCGAGAACACATCAATAATTGCATATGTTGGCTCATTTTGCGACATATGTGCATACCTTTTTAATTCAGCACATATATCTATAGGTCCGAGGCATCAAAAATCGGTTTGTGTTTTTTCTTTCAATTATTTGTAAAAATGTGTTTACAATAAATTCAAATTCACCCTTACACATTCTTGAATATTTTTTGGATAAATATTTATCAAGAATGAATTCTTGTCTTAAGTTATTCAAAGTGTCGCGCCTATTGAAATAAGGTCGAATTCGTCGGGCATTAGCGCCTCTTTTTTGTTTAAATTTTTCTTTTAAAACAATATAAGCGGCTGCGATGACTACTGCAGTCATTGTTGCAGAATTGTGTAGTCCGTTTAGGAGTCTGCAGCACTGGCTATACTATTGCAGATATATAGCACAAATAGCCCAGCTGCTCATCCATTAATTGCAATGAAATATTTTTCTGATGGCTGGGCATTAATACTTGTCAATGATGCGGCTACAAATTGCAGTATAAAACATGACCCGTTAAGCTGCACTTTAAGTATTTGCAGATATTAAACATCGCCTTACTCGCCTTTTAATGTAGGTAACAATTTTAATGTTTTCTAAATTTATATGATCAATTCAAAACCTAGTTATATGAATGCATAGTTAAACTTATTAATTTATCGCTAACACCATTACTGCGAATGTGGATCATGTCTGACCTTTAAAGAAACAAACACGAGCATTTTTATTGACTAGCAAAGTCTATTATGAGAAATACGTCTGCTAGATTTCTTCAAACTATAGGTAATACACAGATGTGTATGTACACCTACTAGTGTAAAGAGAAAAATCTATATCGAAATTCTTGTCTTATTAAGCCATACATTTTTTATAAGTTACTAGCAAAGCTATGCTATGCCACGTTAGATACCACGTTTTATACTTAGGCGGAAGTTGCAAGGTCTTTTCTGTGTTCATTTTCCATTATTCTATGTTTTTATATAAAGCAGGTGTAATAAACAATTAACAGATAACAATGCTCCAATTTTGAACTAATCATGTTACACAAATACAGAAATTTTAAATATCAAATAAAACGCAATTTAGTCACTATGCGACATTGCAAACTGTAAAATAACTTAACCAGCCATAACTAAAAAGTATTGAAATAATATATCATTTTTTTCTTTAAAGGCGCAAACTTTATATCTAGGTAGGCCCAAAATTTTGAAACGTTACCAGCAAAGAGCTTCGAACTGGTTTTTCATAAACGAGTAGGACACTATGAAAACGCAATGGAAAATCCACTTGATGGCGGTAGCCACTTTTATCAAGTTGTTTTGTTTTCGATAGACTGGTGATCTACCACGAATCGCAGGTACTGTCTGTAACAGGCTTACACGATAACCCCGGTGACGTATCGCGACCAACTTCGTAATATCTTTCTGATAATTTCATTATCGGGCTTCATTTAACACACTATAGTATTACAATCACAATTTACGTAGATGCCCTACTAACAGTCATTCAAATTGCACCTACGAAGATAATAAATTTAACCAGATAATGTCATCACTAAACGGTTGTCCTGTGTCTTTTATATTGTTCTTTAATTTAGTACCTAGGTATTTGTTGGTTGCATGTTGGTTCATTTGTTAAAGAACTAATGAACCAACATGGAACCAACAAATACCTAGTCATAGACATAAGCCAAACATACTTTATCAACATTACATTATAAATGTCACTGACCCTGCTGTTGGCCGTTTCCAATAGTGCGAAATCCATGGCCTCTGCACTGCACCAGTGGTTTTGCGGATCCATGATGTTATGCGCCACATAAGTATCGACAAATTAAGGAACGGACACATTTATTTTGCCTCTACAAATGGAGAACGGAACACTAACTTTATGTTTGTGCAACCAACATAAATATCATCGCACTGAATCAAATTTATATAAGGTATGGGTATGGCATTGTTCAAATAAAGTAACTATTGAAAGAGCTTCATGAAACATATAATAAAGAACGCCGTGTAAAATGTAAGCGATTAAGTTCTGCTTCTAAATTGTAGACTGTTGACGGCGATAGTTTATAGTCAAAAATATAATATAAACCTTAAACTCATTTAACAGCTACTAAAGAACTATCAAAACTTACATTTTACAGTAAAATGTCTAAAATTATCTACATATGTACAGTTACCTGTTAACAATCATTAAGTGCCATAAGGCATGGCGCAGGCGGTCACATCACAACACACCTTTCATGGTTTTCTTTCCGCAAGTCGCTCCTGAGAAAACGACGTGCTTTTTGCCCTGGCTGGGCAGAATCTTCACAAACCATTAAACGCCAAAAGATTATTTTGCACAATTATTTTATATTGGCAAATTCACCTACAATATTTACAGATAAACACTAAAAAATAATAATATGAGATGGAGATAAATGAGATCAAAATAGTATATGTTTATTTAGAAGATAGTTAATTTTGAGGGCGACATTTTTATTAACTAGACAAAACTTGAACGTTTATCGACTTTAGAGTTTGTACCGACAAATTGAGAATGTTTTGTCATTTGTGTTAATGATAATTTAGACGTATAAAATGCGGTTCTGTTATGTTAATAGTTAACTTGATCCATAACTTCTATCCAGTAATTGAAAAAAATATTTATTAAAAGAAAAATTTTCATAAATGTTCTAACCTATACTTTAAAAACAGTAGGTTGTTTAACATAAAGAATAAAAAAAAATATTAATACCGCTCTTAAAAACAATTGAACAATTTTAAATATCCTGCAAAACAGATCATCAGAAAATTGTTACTTTGATATGTGCTTTTAAATCAATTATTTGCTTCGTATCAATAGCACAGATTTTAACAATATAACAATGAAATATAAATAAAATAAACACAGATTTTAGAAATATCTGAACAATCTATGATAAATTTACTCGACGACAACTAAATAACGCTCTACACCGAAATGCATAAAAATTGCAAATAACAAATTAATCTAACAAGTATTATACAAGTAAGCACAGCCATGTATTTGAGAGGTATTGTGAACACACAGGTAGACAATGCTGGTAAATGCTTACAACTCATTTTAACGTAACTCTATACACAATAATATATATTAAGCATTTTCTAAAAACAGAATGAAAATAAAACAAAATAACCAACCCTTTATATTTTGTTTCACACGCGCTTGCTCGAATCGAAAGGTTTATAAAGAAATAATACTAAAAGAGAGTGTGCGCTTCAAAACTATGAAAAAAATGCGTTTTTGTTTTCATAATATATTTATAACAGCATTATGTACTTTACAACGCAACGTTTAAGCCGAAACTCCGAAAGTCCTTGTTATTATAATCAAGAAAATCTTACTTTAAGTGGTAAAAACTAATTTTAACGATTTAAAAATGATATGATTTTATTGCATGATGCAATCTAATTGTTCAAAAACGAACTAGAGATGATATTATTGTCCGAAAAAACTTACACACGTAAATATATCTGTAAGCATGTAAATTTTAAATTAAGCAATATGTGTCATGAATGAATTTGGTAATTATTTCAGCAGTGCGATTCTGTAAAAACAAACTCACTTTTCACCGAGGAGTTCACGAAATTAGAACGTACCTATTTCAATTAAATTTCAAATCACACCAGCGAATTCTGCGGTGAAAAGTGAGTTTGTTCCCACAGAGTAGCACTGCTGAATATAATAATTTTAAATGTGATATAGTTATTTACAATCAAAGTAACCAATGATAAGTATACTTACAACATAATAATCGAAGTCTTATTGTTTCTGCAATTCAATATACTTTAGAACATATAAAATTACAAAATGATAAAGTTAGCTTCGGCAACACTACTACTTACAACAAATTAACATAAAGCAAAGTGCCTATGTCTCCATAATATAGGTACCATTCTTTTCATATAGTATCTATCTATATATCGTTATTCTTCCTGTCTATCGTAAATCGTTAGAGCCATAGTGAGCACGCTCAGTCGTCATTGTCCATGCCTATGAGCTCAGCTTGCAACCGCCCCTTGGTGCGACAGCAGGCAGTCAGACATAGAATTCGCAAAGCTAATCTGAACTGCGGACTGAGCGAAATCAGAATGACGATCTTCCAGAATGAGTTCAGTATGCCGAGCCATACCACGCCGAAATGAAGCATCGGTATCTTGAGTTCTTGGTCTGTGATGTACTCATACAGTCGCACACCAGCGTACGGCGCCCAACTCAACCAAAAAGCGGTCACAAGTACGAAACTCATCCAGTGGCTAGGGTTGGCGAGGTTCTCCGCCAGAGCCGTGGCGTACTCTTTGTCGTGTATTGGGGCTCCGCTGTTCAGTTTCCGCTTCATTGAGAATATGTAAAAATAATTATACACGATCGAAATTACGCTCGGACCGAGGACGAGAATACCTAATGTGGCCGTGTACGCGTAAGTCGTGCCCCAGTCGAGCATGCAAATGAAAGTTTCCTTGTCGAAATTAGCATCCTTTTTATATCCGAGAAGCGGTGGGCAGCACAACATAGCGGCCGAAATCCAAGTGAACACCATCCAACATTGACTCCTAGTGCGCGTTTGTACCTGACAGGTAAGACGGACATGAGCGTTTTCAACTGTACTTTCATAAAACCTTGTCTAATAGGTGCAAGTCGAAATGTGTAATCTCGCACCTTAAGCAATTAATTATTCTACAAAATGTAGAATAATTTATAAAATAACATAATAAAAACAAAATAAACAGTGGCAAAAAAACACTATTTCCTACTCATAAAAAGCTACAAATCAAAATTGTTAATCAAGCCTTCAATATTGCATTTAATTTAGTTGTGTTCTTAGCTATTCATAAAATAATGCAAATCAAAACTATCGGTAAGTATAAGGAACTGAAAACCATTCTAACAACTAAATAATTATCATAGCATAATAGAACGAAAGAAAACGTCTAGATGTGCTGAGTGCAGGGAATAATACGGAAAAGATAACTACCGTTGCACTAACCGTCTCATATCGGAGAGGTTTCCGGACGGCGAGATATCGGTCCACGGAGATCCACATGAAGGTGTACACGCTGACGGACCAGAGCGTCACCTCCACATAGCCCGCCAGCCGGCACATTAGATCGCCGAACATCCAGCGCCCGGTTATAGCGGGGTACACAGACAGTGGCACAACGAACAAGCCACACAGCAGGTCTGCCACGGCGAGTGAGAGCAAGTAATAATTTATCACTTCGTTAGATAGACCTGCAACGAAAAACATTCAATCAAAAACTCTATAGGAATCTACGAGTACCTACATGCGTAATACCTCTACGCTGTTATCCGTCGCTGAATAACTTTTACAATGCCTTGAGGCATCGACAGAATCATGACAAAAATAAACTTTATTATTTAAAGGAAATTGATCAAAAAATCAAATCAAAATGAAAACATTCGATAGTGAATAATTGATAAAATGGATTACAATCAGACAATCACAACACACTTCAGTAGCTATCGAAATCCATTAATTAAAGCTCTGTACAATATGCATTTCAATTAATTTTTCATGCTTTCGATGCTTCGAATTATTTTAGAGTGACCGCTATATTGTCTGTTCTGTTTTTCGATTTTCAATTATTTATTAAGAGCAATTATTGCTATACATTAATTATATTTTAAGCCTAACCTTTAACACCTGACAAGTATAAATTTTAGACATGTGAGCATTTATAATCTTACCTATTTTTTTTTTAATTAATTCCCTGTGTATTGGAATACATTAATCAGCTGCCCCAGACGAAATGTGTGTGACATAGACAAGTGGACCGCCGTCCGATACTGTGTTGCAATAGACAAATTGTTTCCACCAACGATATCACCAATGATGTGCGTGCTAGTGTAACTTCGTAACATTGAGACCGGTAGCGAGGTATCACAATAGGTAGATCAGTAGACTGTGTCTAATTAAGGATAGTGGCATCTAGGACATAAGACATAGTTACAAAGGTTAAGGATCACCATTAGCTTATTAATAACCCTCTACTGGGGCCTTCCCTATGGATGGAATGGAGAGATATCATATTGACATTCCGAGACACTGGTGTCGATTCTGGCGTGATTCTCTAAACTAACATTAGTCTCTCCTTTTCATTCTGTATAGAGAATGACAAGGATATACTGCTGTCAAATTTAAGTTTAGGTTTAGAGAATCATGCTAGAATCGACACCAATGTCTATTAAAGTCACTGTACATTTAATTAAATCTATTCAAATACTTACACTGCCATTTCGCTTGATAGAAACTTCTACCCAAAGCATCACTACAGGTTTACAAGTTTAAGTTTTTTACAAACAAATGTATCTTTGGTGTTTATTGAAGCTATTTGTTAAAGCACTTAGGGGAAGCTAAGGCAAAACGAATATGTCAAAGGAATGGTTAAAATAAACACACAAAGGAGAATGCCCATTTAGTAAGGAGACTTGGGTCCCTTTGAAAAATAGTTGTGCCCTGAAGATTTTTGTTGGATTTTGTAGGAAGAATACGCTATATTCACATTCAAAAGAAATTTCCAATTTAGTCACCCTGGTTCACGACATATAATTATTTGCTGTTTGTGGAAATTGAGGTTATAATATAGCTTGACATTTACATTTTCTCCATGCTTTTCTTAACTAGGTCCTATCTACATCACTATATTGATATAAACTTGCATATTATAATGTATAAAAGCACAATAATGTTACAGTTGGCAGCCGGTCAGGGCCGAAACTAGGTGGGGGCATAAAGCCCATAGCTTTATAGGGCAATGCCCTACCTTAAAATACCTACCTAAAATACCAATGCCCTACCTTAAAAAATATCATTGACTTAATACGATTGAAGGAATTCGGGGGGGGGGGGGGTTATCCTGCTTATGCCCTACTTGAAATTATCACTACCCTATCTTAAATACAACTCTGGCTACGGCCCTGCAGGCGGTATGTTGTAAAATAATGTATAGATTTCCTCATCAAGCAATGTATAAGATAAACATTTTTCGAATGATAATAACAATTAATAGTTATGGACGACTCACCAATTATTTAGTCCCAATTAAACAAGCTTGTAATATTATACCCATCGAGAAATACGTCACCAACCAAGCCATAAATAAAAAAAAAATATGTCAAGCGGAAATTGAAATTGGGCAAATATCTAATTCATTATAACCTAACTAGCAAACCAGTGAACCAAATGTTCACCAAAAAAAAATGTATTTAATTAATTGAGAACTTCGGAGATTTTGTGTGGTTTCGTTTGAAATAGAAATCACGTGATTTCTCGAAAACCGGAAGTGCTACGTTACTCACATCCGGTTTGTAGTCTTATCAGACTATTCTTAACTTATAACTTAGACATTCTCTATATCTATCTCTTACGGTTTGGCCGCTGAAACAGCACCACGGACGGACGGACGGACTTGTCTATTAGATAAGAGATACCCAGGGTCAAAAAAATACGATAAAAATGACACGAGCATAAAAAATAAATCCGATTTTTAAGTACATATTTGTAGGGCACAAGATACCTCAAAAGGGACCTATGTTTGGGCATTCTCCTTTGTAATCAACAAGAGTTTTTTATTACTAACTAGCGGCCGCCCGCGACTTTGTCTACGTCAATTTTAGTTTTTTGAAAATTCCTAAGGAACCCAACATTTTCGGGATCAAAAGTATCCTATGTCTCAATCCATCTATGATAAAGTATATTATGAGTGCCAAATTTCACCAAATTACGTTCAGCCGTTTTGCATGATTGTATAACAAACTCACTTTCGCATTTATATAATTATTCATACCAAGTTATGTCACTTAGATAATTATTCGTACCAAGTCTTAAATCTAATAACTCATAGAATAAAATTTTTCATACAAACTTTTATCCCCCTTTTTACCCTCTTAGATCGTTGCTACGTTTTTCTTTATTTCTGGTCTTTAGTAAAAATACCAAGTTTCGAGTTAATCGAAATGCACGTGAAAACTCATCCACATAAAAAATTGGCACCCTTCCAATTTCCTTTTAGGTAGTTTAGGAAAACTACAAATATTCGTGCCATTTCATCCTCTATATAAACCCCGTCGGGGATGAATTTAAAAAAATCATTTCTTAGTGCATGCCTAGACCTCATGAGGAACCTACGTGCCAAATTTTGAGTCTCTAGACCTAGAGGTTTAGGCCGTGCGTTGATACGTCAGTCAATCAGTCAGTTTAGATTTGTACTTTAGTTAATCATGTTTGAAAAATGCTAGTAAAAACTTAGAAACTTAAGCAACCTCTTAATAAATTTATAGTGAAAAAAAAATACGGTCAATTATCCGTTATGACCGACCCCCTAGGTAAAACAGACACACCACCAGGGCCAAAAGGATAAGTAAAGCGATTGTTTTTTTTTTAGTGTGTATGCTGTTGGTCGCATATGACCTTTACAGCGTCACCGGGTTTGGGGACGGCGAGATCCTAAGGGGACCTAAAGCCGAGAATTGGCGAGTGCCTCTAGGGGTATTCCAGGCGGATGGCGTCTCCCCGCGGGGGGAGTCTCCTCTCCGTCTGGAGCCTCTAGACCACTCGAACCTGAGGGGGTCGGCTCAACTAGAGGGCGTCTCTGGGACTCGGACCTCGGCTCTAGTTAGCCGTTGTCGTGGGAAGAAAAGCGATTGGTGTTTTTTAATCTGCGCACTCTATCCAATCTTCGATAGACGGTTTAATAATATAGGTATATACATTTGACCTCACTAAATATAATCAATTTGTTTTATCATTCCGATTTTTATTGTAAGACTTATTTATTAGAGCTGTTATTCTGCTAAAAAAGGCATGGTGGTAAATGTTTTTTATGTTAAAAGCCTCGTCATAAATTAACATTTTCCATTGTTCAAATAACATTATTTGCCCGACGGACCGCCGCCGTTTTCGGAAAACTTTATTACAAATATCATTTAGGTAAGCATCACACAAACTCGTATCGATCATATGGTAGGCATTAATTAGTTTCATTTGGGCTGTAGAGAAATAGTTAACTCAAATAATTTGGTTTACATTTGGTGGATATTGGTAACGGAACTTAGGTCAGAGATTCTTGGTGCCAAAAAAAAATTTCTTCTAAAAACATTTGAATAAAAGTTTACTAGAAAAAAATCCACGCGGACCAGGCAGCAGACGGGACTCGAACCTGCACCCTTCGCTATCCGGACGAATACACTGACCATTATGCTACCGCGGCCCTGACAGCCGTTTCGAATTTTCTCTAGCCTTCCGCAGCAAGGCAGCAGTTAAATACTTAAAAAAACATAATTCTAAAAACATTTTAGCCAGAAAGCTGTTACTACTGACCTAAAAGGCGGGATTTCAAGAAGGGATTGATAAAGTAAATATATTAAATTGTTTGTTAACCACAAAATTGAATGATTTTAAACAGGAAATTCCATACATTTTTCAATCATTAATGAAACTGCAAAAATGCTACACTAGTCGTGAAAAAGAATTGTGACGTTTATGGGCTGAATATAGTGTCAGCACAAAGCTGGCTCAAACGTTTCCAATAAGGGAATATCGACGTCAAAGGTGCAACTTGTTATTTGTCGTTTGGTCGTTACAAACAAAAGCCGAAATAGATAGGCAATCGCATAGGTATCCGTGTTACGACGCTTCTGAGGAACTTAAAATCACCAATGAATCAGTTTTGGTCCATCAAAATAAAGTCTTGGTTTACAAAGAAGCTCCATTCTAGGGATCTTACTCAAAGAAGCAAAAAAGACATGAAATAATTTGTGATTCTTTGAAGCGTAATGATACCGACCCATTTTTGGAAAGATAAAAAATGCATTACCTACGTCACTATGAGAAAAGATCATGGCCAAAGGCACAGTCAAATATCAGTCAAGCTGTACAGGCTGTATCGAAACGCAGATTAACACGTAATAAATGTGATTGCTGAGTATTTATATGTGTATGTATTGGGATTCGAAGGGTATCAATCATTAAAAAAAATACAGTCAAATCGGCAAACTATTTTATTTATTTATATTCATTCATGCATGCATCACATGGCCGTCATAAGAGACAATGATATGCAGCGTGGTCTCTGTTATTAAATCCCCAGTTATGCCTTTGTATTGGGTGTGACACAAATAACGTGAACGCTTAAAATATTTATCAGACCGTACGACCGTTTTGATATATAAACTCTTACATAAATACAACGGTATGGTCCAATGCTAAAAAT